AGTGTCGTCCGTCCTGTTCGTCGTAGTACCCAATTCAGACCGCCAGACGGCAGTACGGTCGCCATCGTGACAAGCTGCAATCCTTCAAATTTTATTTCCCGTTTGGTTGGTTGGGACGGTCATTTATCATAAGTCTCGCACGAAGCCCTTTCAGCGGTCATTCGTTTAATTAGACGACTATTAATCAATCTGTGCTTAACCTGCGGGAAAGCATCCCAAATGGCGACGATTCCTTTTAACAAGCAAGCTCCTATAGGGCGCTTCTAGTATAAATCGCTTTCAATTCAAAATGTCTTTTATTCTTTTTGTACAGGTGCAGCTTTGATCAGCCCAAGTGCACTCACGCCTGAGGAAAAGCAACAGCAGACATCTCTGGAAATCATTTCAAGATACTTACTGTCAGGTTTATTTTACACGCTGAGTGAGAATAAAAGCTAATGCTGCTCTTTATATCTCAATCCACTTCATTTGTGTTTTGTCGTGAATAGTTTGCCAAGTTTGCTTGACGTTTGCTTGACGAATGATTTAAAGGAATTAAAATACGAAAAGTATCTACCTATTTGCAGAAGTGATTATATAATTTTTCTCTAAAATTTCATGACATGGGGAATAACCGTCATATTTATGGATTTTTAAGTCTCTTAAGTTGTTGGGTTATATATTCATATGGGTTACTCATATTCAGCGGAGCACGAACATTTTGATGAAATAAATCACTAATGCTGGAATATGCCTGTGCGTGAGATCCTTAGGTCCTTAGGGACTATTTATGGAATTTCCCGTTTGTCGCTGATAGCGATATTCCAAAAACAATACATGTACATAGAATCATATTATAATGGTAGCTTCTTCCAATAACAGTTTAAGATCTGAGTTATGACCACTCTGATATTTCTGACATATTTATATCACGCCAATATTTCGTACTGAGAGTAGAACACAGCTGATGAAATTCTTTAATGTTGTAATATATGGACATAATTCCATGTTCAATCCATTCAAATTCATAAACAAATTGACATAAATATACGTTTTTATAATTGAGACACCTGTTTCGAGAACGTCGGAGGCGTGTTTGGTGATATTACTCTACACAGACGGCAGCTGTCTTATATTAACATCTTGTAAAATGAATACAAAAATTATGTCGATTATTTATTATTATAAAACTTTAAGTGTATACGCTTATCTTCCACATCGGCTGCTTCCCTTTGAGAAAAGTGATA